AATCAGAAAAAATATAATTGTCCGCTCAAATTTTCACGCTCCGCCTAAAAAATTGCCCAGCAAAGAGTAATAATATTATCATTTAACTGCTTGTACTTTTTTTAAATCAAATGTCCAACGAACAAGAAATTAAATTGGTGTGGCCCTACATAACTTTTTAAGCTTTGTGAAAAATGGTAACACTACATGATTGTATACATAAAAAGAATAAAATTACATGTACATGCATTAATATAAATTATAAGGCAAAATAATCCATCTTTAGATCTATGGTATTGTTGATATAATATTCAGACATAAAGTTCTTTAATTTTCTTTATGACTAATGCCTTCATTTTTTTACTTCCTTAATGTCAAATCAAATCCTTTAATGGTAGTGCTTTGGGTCATGTTGCTGTGAAGATACATCGGAAATATGCAGTTTTCTTCTTCTCCCTGTCATTTGGAGTTTTAAGGTACCGAGATAATACCTGAAATTAGAAAACATCATTTCTGAGCATTTAAAGCAATGTAATCAAGCAAATTCAAATAATTGTGGTCCCTCGCTTTCGGTGTCTTAGTTTGTAAGGTGCTATTATATATAGCATATTGTGTTAAATATTAATTCCCTATCATATATTGTCAATTCCAAAGCAATATTTTGAATTAAGGTCAAATAAAAAGGTCAAGGATTATAATCATTCCAAGGTCCGAAACATCTCGATCTTGTCTCACAAAAGGGACATCAAAAATGAAAACCAAAATCAAAAGTTACAATGAAAACAAGAGGCCCATGGGCCCACATCGCTCACCTGAGCACATGGGCTAGTTAAAAAAACACAAGTCAGCTCAGTATTGAAGTTTACTTGTTGGGGGGGGGGGATGAAATTTTTTAATACTTGAGAACTCGCTTGATTAAAATTATATGTTATACATGTACTGCTGAAAATTCACTTCAAGTGAGTTTTTTAACTGTAGATATAACTAAAAATGGTTGGGAGGTGGATAAAATATACACTATTTTATACAGAATAAGTCCAGAATTAGGAATGGAAAGGTAGTTGATTGACCAATGCTAGAAAATGGAAAAATTTTCCCCAAAAGTGCGCAAACAATGCCCCGTAAATTCCACCTTTTTTGCATTACGGGACCTGTAGCGTTAGAGTCAGACAAATTATAAAACCATAGTGCTACAGATCTGCAGCTAAATTTTGCCATACTTGAAAAGAAGATTTGTCCTACATATTACTTGATCTCCCATTGTGACCCCTTGTTAACCCTCCCTAAACCCAAGAGATCATGTTATGAACAAACTTGAATTAACTCTGAGGATATTTCCATATTAATATCACAATCATAGCTTTGCTGATCTTGAGCAAAGGATTTTAAAAAAATATTCCTATATATTTCTATATAAAAATTTGATCAGCCAGTGTGGCCCTGCCCTACCCCCGGGTGTCATGATTTGTACAAACTTGAATCTACACCACCTAAGGATGCTTCGACAAGAGTTTTATCTTTCCTGGCCCAGTGGATTTTTTAAGATTTTTCTATGTAAACCTTTGATCAGCCATTGTGGCACCGCCCTACCCCGGTGAGTCTTGTTTTCATTGTAACATTTGATTTTGGTTTTAATTTTTGATGTCCCTTTTGTGAGACAAGATCGAGATGTTTCGGACTTTGGAATGATTTTAATCCTTGACCTTTTTATTTGACCGGGGCTCACCTGAGCACATTGTCTAGGAAAAAGCACAGATCAGGTCAAAACTGAAAAATTGGGTAGTGGGTCGCTTGGTTATGATTTGAACAAACTAAAATATACATTAAGGGGGTTGATTCCATATAAATATCACTAATCATGGCTTTGAAGTACTTGAGAAGAAGATTTAAAAAGATTTTCATATATATTCTTATGAAAGAGTTTCATCAGCCATTGTGGCCCCATCCTACCCCTGGGGGTCATGATTTGAACAAACTTGAATCTACACTACCTGAAGATGATTACACATGAGTTTCATCTTTCCTGGCCCTGTGTTTCTTGAGAAGAAGATTTTTAAAGATTTTTCCTATATACTCCAATGTAAAACTTTGATTGGCCATTGTGGCCCCACCCTACCCCTGGGGGTCATGATTTGAACAAATTTGAATCCACACTACATGAATATGATTCCGGGTGAGTTTCATCTTTCTTGGCCCAGTGGTTCTTGAGAAAAAGATTTTTAAAGATTTTTCTTATATACTCCTAGGAAAACTTTGATCAGCTATTGTGGGCCCATCCTACCCCGGGGGTCATGATTTGAACAAACTTGAATCTACACTACCTGAAGATGATTACACATGAGTTTCATCTTTCCTGGCCCAGTAGTTCTTGAGAAGAAGATTTTTAAAGATTTTTCCTATATACTCCTATGTAAAACTTTGATCGGCCATTGTGGTCTCACCCTACCCCTGGGGGGTCATGATTTGAACAAGCTTGAATCTACACTACCAGGGTCTGACAAATCCCATTGCCCGACGCCCCGGAGCTAGTGAATTTTTAAGGGGGGGAGGCAAGTGAATTTTTTTAATAGGTACATGCCCGTGGGCAAGTGACTTTAAAAAAAATCAATAAATATTTTTAAAAATGTTATAGGACAGGAGTCTGAAGTTCTTATCGTCAAAAAAAAAAAATGCGGAAAGAAATTTTCCTACCTTCAACTAAAATACACCATGATGGCAATATGTTTTGGGGGGACACACTTAAACTAATAGATCTGGGCTTGGCCTAAAAAATCTCGCAACAAATTCAGTATTCGGAGCGTTTTACTATTTATTCAAGTTAAGAAATCCAATCTGCTTGACGACTACAGGCCGTTTCTGGCCCTTTTTCCACTTTAACAGCTCATCCTGAACTCCATGCCACTAAACTGGAAGTAAATCTCGCAGTGTATATTTGACGTCTATGAACATGATCATGATGATGAAAGCTTGTTCAAATGAAATAAAATAAATAATTATTCAACATATTTTGATTCAGTTATTTTAAATAGAGTTGGGTATTGGGAGTGAAAACCATATTACGATATATTGCAATATTTTATGATGAATATTGCAATATATTGGGATATATTGTAGATTAATTATAATAAATAAATTTGTGCAGCAAGTTTAAAATGCTGTCAAGCTCAAAGATTATTTGAATTTATCTATAGGTTTTAAAGGGGGTGAGGGCATATAATAAAAAATTAATTGCACACATAATAACACTTTACTTTTAATCAAATACCAGGTAAAATAATAAAACAAAATGAACTCTCTTGAAGCATTTTGTTAATACAGAGTATATCTTGTAACATTTTTATGTTTGGGTTTTTTTTTTGGGGGGGGGGTGTTTTATCAAAATAGCACAAAATATAACTTAATGATTAAAACAATACATACTATATGAAAATTTCATGTGGTCACAGAATAAAATTAAAGCCAGAAAGAAATTGTGACCTATTTTCGGGCGTTTTGGTGTTTTAGTCTAACCCGACCTAATTTCACACTATGACATACGATCAGGAACTGCACTGGCCTATTTCTACTGTTTTAATATACATGCTCCAGGTATAGCATGACGTTGTTTAAAATGGCATGAAACTTATTAAAAAATAATAAAAGCGTCACTGTATCAAGTGAAAACATGGATGGCCATTTACTTATAATATATGTATCTTGAATTTAACATTCATCATCGTGACATCGACCGTGTAGATTCCATGTGAGATTTTGAGAACCACAGTAAACATGGCATACACCCTGTAGATATGTTTTATATATTTTCTTTCTGAATAATGTAATTCAAAAGTCTTCATTAATTATTATTTTTTTAAGTAAGATATTTAAAATTGCGACAGTGAATGATAAGCTTCTTCTCTCTCTCTCTCTTCTCTCTATCTCTTCGAAAGCTGACAAAGTATTCATTTAAGCTAGATTTGAAAGGCTGGGGACGTTACAAGTATTATTCCAGCAGTTTCTACAATGATGGATGTTTTTTTTTCATATATTTTTATAAATATCGTGAAATACCGGTATCTGGCTTTCATATCGCGATATATTATCGTGGTGGATAATACCGCAATATACCGATATACCGGTAATATTGCACAGCCCTAATTTTAAACATATTGTAACGGTCCAGAGATTTGACAGATTAGTTTTATACAGAGTTATTGAACCTGATTATTGTTGACATGTAGGAGAGTTAAGATGAATTTGTATATGTGTTATAATTACTTGACATTGCAGGAATATGTATTAATTTATGCTTTGCATGTAATTGATAGGTGATTATTGACAAGTTTAAGTGATTTACATGAGTTGAAATAGTTTGTGCACATGTTTTGAGTTACGTAGAAATCAGCTGATCATAGCAGTAGTAAAGTTGTGGTATTATTTTAGCTTACTTCATGTTTCAGGGACTTTAATTGGTCTTCTGTAGAAGATAAACCATAGATTTATAGATGAAATCGTGTTTTCTTGAAGTTTAACTTGTTTTCAGTTAATTATCGGCAGTTTATAGACTGGTAGATTTGTTTACGAACTTGGCGGTCGTAAATTGTGTAGGTCGAGCCCGATCGTAAAAGTTACGATAGTTTTAGGATTTTTGGAGTTAATTGTGTTATTTGTTGATTTAAATGGAGATTAATTGACTTATTCTAATTGAAGAATGTATTTGGAGATTACTTTCATTCAGAAAAGTTGTCTTGTATGTAGTTATTAGATTTTCTATAGACTTTGCTGTTTACGGGAAATGTCACGAGAGATTCTCCAACGTTTTCCAACATGTCCAACAGTTTCCAACTTTTACGTCATGTTCTTGTATAAAAGAGAGAGATTCAAGGAATTTTTGCTCTTCTGCTAGGTTGGTTTGTATAGAGAAGTCGTGTTTTAGGGGTAAGGAGTTAGTATGGGTTGGGCGTTTTTAAATTAGATTTAATAATGACTTTTTAGTTTTATTTTAAGAAGAGCCAGGGTTAGTTTAAGGATTTTTAGGAACTTTTAGAATATTTGTGGAATTTTATAGGAAGTTTTGGTGAGGATTTAGTGAATTTTAACTGAGAATTGGACTTGGTTAAATTTTGCTGGTTGTTTGAATTTTTGGTAAATTGTTGTTAAATTTTAGAAATACTTAAAATTGTTTAGGTAATTTATACATTTAGCTAAGGAAGCTAGTGTATTTCTAAATTTTGCTACTGTTTTTAACTGGAATTCAGACTTAGGAAATTTGCAGGAATTACTGGTGATTGAAATTTGTTAGGAATTCATTAGGTTTAAGGGATTAAGTTTTAGTTATTGGTTTTTACTTTCATCCAGGAGGTCTGGAAGGAAGTTCTGAGAATTAAGAGTTTTGTGAGTTGTATTGAGGTTGATTTTAGGTAAGTCAGGACTAATAGGTGACACAGACAGACTGAGACAGAGCTTAGAATTTGTTTGTTGATTGTTCATTTAAGAGATAATTCTTGTAATA